TTAAAAATTTAAACCCTCTTAATAATTAAAGTTTGAACCGAAATAAAAGTTTTCTGGGTTAAAGTTTGTAGAAAATGTTTTTCAACCACAGAGGTTGTTTAAAACTGAATTTACAAAGTGCGGGAAACATAAAAAGATATAAAGTAAATGACACCAGATTTATTAGTGTTCGGGTCTATAACCAGACCTACATCCAGCTCCTCAGGAGGCACCCTCTGAGTATTGCCACTAATACCAATAGTGACTCTCCTTTGCACCACAGCAAGGCGAGAAGAAGCCTTTATTAAACACACTCTTTTCACCACTCCCCGGATGCGGCAGAGAACCGTTCGTCCTTTTACACAATACCCAGTGTTGGCAGAAAACCGTCCGGTCCTTTCACACTCCCAAGTGTAAGGTTAGAGAACCTTCGTCCTTTCACACCCTCCAAGTGTAGGCAGAGAACCTTCGTCCTTTCACACTCTCCAGTGGGGCAGAGGAAGCCCTTCGGTTCCTTCACACTCTCCTAGTTTTGGCAGAAAACCTTCGTCCTTTTCACACTCAGAGTGTCGGCAGAGAACCGGATCTCCTGTGACAGATCTTCTCACCAAGAATCTAGAGGAAGAAAGAAAAAGAGTGAAGAAATCCAGATGTTCACAAGTAAGAGACTCTTACACTTTAGCCAAATCCAAGTGAAGCGCTTTTCTCGCCCTCCGTGGTAGGAATCCTTCTTTTGAATGCCTCTCTCCACTCGCTCTCGCTTTTAGCTATTTCTCCCAAGAGGGCACGAAGATCAAATGACCAAAAAGATATGGTGGCAGTTCTAATTTTTGGGACTATTTATAGAAAAGACAAGGTGAAAGCCGCCCAAAAAACTTGCAAATTTTCAATTCTGTCGCAGTGATCGTCCTGTACGATCCTGGATCGTCCTGGACGATTTACTTTTAAACGATCTGAAACAACCATTTGGTATATGTGTACGAACTGACTTTTCCGCTGACAGTGATCGTCCTGGTACGAAACTTGGTTCGTCAGTACGGAACGGTTTATTACAGAGGTCGGTTCTAAAACTGCTTGTAAAACTGTTCTAAGTCGGTTTATCGTTTTAAACGAAAGTGACGTCTGGACGAAAATTTTCCAGATAACCGATCGTCCTGGACGATTTTATTTATATTCGTCTGGACGAAAATTTTCCCAGGAGCAACTTTTGGTCGCTCGTACGATGGTAAAATTGCGTCTAGACGAAAAATTGGCAGTGAACCGCATCGCTGGACCGATGATTTGTTTTCGTCCTGGACGAAAAATTTTGCAGATGAATTGATCACATGTACGATATTTATTTTCATCTGGAGAAAATTTTCCCAGAGACTGGTCGCCTCGTACGATGGTAAAATTCGTTGGGACGAAAAGTTTACGTTGTAACCCATTCGCCTGGACGGATAATAAAATTTCGTCCTGCGACGAATAGACTTAGAAAAATTTTTCAAAGCAAGTTCTATTCAGATATACCGATGCTCTATAGGAGATAACTGACAGTCGCCAGTACGATAAATATCGTCCTGTAACGATCAGCATATAGAATTTCAAGATCTCTATTTGTGTGTGAGATTTTATTCACTATTACAATCACTCCCTTTCAAGATTAATTACAAGAAAAGACAAACATCAATTTAAACAAAATATCTCATTTGAATCTGAAATTGAAGTTTTCGATAGCTGGAGTCTAGATTTTCCTGAAAAATGTTAAGATACACACAGAGGGCAAGGGCAAATCTATACTGAAATGTTAGGAGAAACTATCATTGACAATTAATGTTTTGGAATCATCAAAACTACATAAGGTGCAAATATAAATCCCATTCAAAAATTAGCAAACTATTCAAACAATCTCCCCTTTTTTTGACTGATGGCAAAACAATTATTATAGTTATGGTTTCAAGTTTTAAACACCAGTCTTTTATCTCCTAACTCCCCCTGAATTTATAGTACATTAAAATAAGGAGGGCATTAAGGAACAATATTTTAACGAACAAATTTTTATTTTATTTTTTTTTTTAAATTTAACCAAACTTGCAACAAAACAGAACAACTAAAAGAAAACACAAACATACACAAACTAAAACATACACCAAACCTAACATCTCTCCTCTTTGTGGGGACCCGTGACCCGAAATTGACACCCCTATCTATAAGTAATATATAATATTAAAGTTTTAGATATTAGATATCTAAATAGCATGAAATAAAATGGTATGTATCCAAATCCCTTAGTTTTATTAGTCGAAATCTTTTTGTGATTTATTAAGTCCGGAATTTATTTTGCTACCGTCACGTAATTAATTTTAAAATTTTTAGTTATCTCCCGTGACCCGAAATTGACACCCCTATCTATAAGTAATATATAATATTAAAGTTTTAGATATTAGATATCTAAATAGCATGAAATAAAATGGTATGTATCCAAATCCCTTAGTTTTATTAGTCGAAATCTTTTTGTGATTTATTAAGTCCGGAATTTATTTTGCTACCGTCACGTAATTAATTTTAAAATTTTTAGTTATCTTCTTTGATGTTTATATTGTAATCTTCCTTTATAGCAATGGAATGGGATAGCCCCTAAATTTTTCCAAAAAAAAAAGTCATGATATTTCTTTTTTTTAGTGAGAATATTTAGACCAATTAAAATAAACTCTTTTTTTTTAATGGTCTATATTTCTTTTTACTCTACATTCAAAACAATCAACCTCACAGTCAAATACAAAATAACAATTGATCCAATAAAAACTAATGATCCAAATTTAAACAAACACTTACTCATTCAGTCAATTAGCTCATAAGCTAAATCATTAAAAGAACTAATCTAAAATTCACTTAAAACTATTAAAATTTAAGAGTTTATGTGCCAAAATTTTTAAAAAATTTACTCTTTTCTCCTTATCTAAACTAATTTGTTATTATTTCTTTTCTAATTCCTCCGTCATTTTATTATTTCATTACAAACTTAGAATTGAAATAACTAAACGAGATATGCAAAAAAAAAATAATAATAATACAAAAATTTCTTAAACTAAAAACTTTTTAAAACAATAAAAAAACTATCCCAAATGAAACGTAAATTTTTTATTGTTGAATCTAGACTCATTACACACTTTAGTTATGGCCATGCAGCACTGCAAAGCTGGAGTAATTATTGTGTCCGGACACCGAATGCGTCCATAGACCAATAACAGCGCCACGTCACTTGGGTGCTCAGTACCAAGCACTCGATATTGCTCGGTATTTGTCCGGATGTAATAACTTTTCGCAAAGCTGACAATAGCCAGATGCAAGCTTAGGCTTCGTTTGAAAATGGCTTTCTTACTGCTTCTTAAAGCAATTTTCTAGTACAAAATTTAAATTTTTGTACTAAAAAGTTACTATAAGAAGCAGTAATAAAACCGCCCCAAACTAAGCCTTAGACTCATACCCAGCCTCCTACTTCATATAGCCAAGCTGATCAGATGATAGACCTGGCATATATGAAAATATTGAACTCCCACAGTACCCCAATGTTCTGTATGTTAATCAAAAGATGGAAGAAGATTTAACAAATTAAAGCACAAAAACTTAGAAGAAAACATAAAAATAACAGGAAAAACCTGTCACATATGATGATTTTGAAGTCCCACAATACAAAAACATCAAACATAAAAGATGCAAAACAATGCAGAGGTGCTGTCACTGCTGATGATTGTAGCAATTCATGATACCAACATCTTAATTATTATATATTCACTTAGTTTCAATATAGCAACATTGCATTTGCCACTGCAGTAAGACAGATTATGGTGACTGCCAAAAAAGTAGAAATCAATACTGAATTTAAGGATTTCCCATTGCAGAAGATGGTTGGTAGGCATGAGGAGATGAACCATTTTTATGGATGAACTTCAAGCACACAGCGCAGGCATCCTCCCTCATGCATCAGATCAAAGGCCTTGTTGATCTCAGCCAGGGTCAGTTCGTGAGTGACATATTCGTCTACTTTAATTTCCTGCAAAACCAAAGAAATGGATCGATGAATGCTCGATCTGATTTCATGGTGAACTCGAAAGGAGTTGAAGGAAGCAAAATCTGGATTTGTAAAAAATGTAATAACGAGTACAATAGTGGCAGAAAAGAAAGAAAATGCTAAGACAGAGTCTTTTGCTTCGTTTCGGATGGCTTTTTTCCTGCTTCTCAAAACAGTTTTTAATACAAAAATTAAAATTTGTGTATTAAAAAGCTGCTCTAAGAAGCAGCAAAAAAGTCGTCCCAAACGAAGCCTTTATAAAAATAGAAAATATGGGGTATAATAGAAAGATTGTGAGAGTGTCATTTATCTGAAAAGAAGTTGAAGAAAATAACATTAGGTGATCAAGGCATGTGAAATGAAACTCAAGGGATGTAAAAATAAAATAGAGAATTGATGTAATAACTTCATTGGGTAAATAAAGAGAAAGTTAAAGCAGTGAATTGAAGATGCTATGATTAGTGAAATATGCAATCAAGTCACCTTATGCATGTATTTTTCAACAAGCAATGGTACTTGAGAGCGGCTCTTGAAGCCTCCAAAAGCAGTTCCCTTCCATACACGCCCCGTCACAAGTTGGAAAGGTCGGGTTGATATCTCCTGCCCAGAAGCTGCCACACCGACAATAACTGATGTCCCCCAGCCCTGTACAGCAAATAATCGATAAGAAAATATATATATATATATATCAGCTCAAAGAGTTAAACATTATATAAAGATAACATAATTGGGAACATAATAACATGGAAATTATTTTGTGTGAACATATGTATTTTCCAAAGAAACTTAGCATGAATAGTTGACACGTGCTGGGGATGACTATAATACAAAATTTCCAGAGTGGTTTATTTAAGTTTTTGCAATTCTCAAAGATTAGTTGATTTATACAATTTTGGGTAAACATGAAAACTTATAAGTAAGATGCATTAAATAAGAACCAAAAAATGGTGTCTTGCCAAGCATCACAGCGATTAAGGCTTCGTTTGGGACAGCTTTTTTATTGTTTTCTAAACCAGTTTTTCAATACAAAAATTTTTAAAATTAAAAAATTTTATACTAAAAAGTTACTTTATAAAGTAATAAGAAACATATCCCAAACGAAGCCTAAGATGCCCAGCTTTCCATTCACTTATACTTTCTTTTTTCACTCATTTTATTTCTCTTCGGAGAGAGGGATGTGATCTTGTGATTAATCATCAATATGTGCATGTATTGATCAAGAAAAATTATGCATTAAAAAAGGATGTTGTCTCATTTGGAGACCGCAGGTGTCGAACGGGTTGGATGGGTAGGCATGGAGAGAATTTACCTTATGACAGCATTCCAAAGCAGCCCTCATCAGTTGGACATTTCCAATACATTCAAAACTGTAATCCACGCCACCATCAGTGAGGTCAATGATAACCTGCTGTATTGGTTTTTCATGGTCCTTAGGATTCACGAACTCAGTAATACCAAAATTCTTTCCTGCAATAAGATAAATGAATCATGATAATTTGTTTTATTTAAAAAATGAAGTTCATTAAAATATTAATAATCTTTAAATTTGCACATGTAATAAACATGTACATTAGCAATTTCAGGTTTCACTGAAAAACAACTACAGAAGAACAGAGCATTCACAATGCAATGAATTTGTGATTAAAGCGGTTGTTAAGGTATCAATGGCCATCAGTCCAAATTTTAGTGCATAGAGTATGACAAAAATTCAATCTAATGGAAATGGCAAATTTGAATATGCAGTCGTTGTGAGGCATATTGTTACAATGAAAAGTAACACATTTAAATCTGGTTTTATCTCAACGCTAGAGCCTTATCAACTTATAAAGCACAAGCCTGGTTCATGGCAAATCAAAAAATTGAAAGAAACCAACATTAACAGACTACGAGGCAGTTCAAAACTTCTTTGGGCATGTAAAATGTGTGTGTGCGTGTGGGGGGTGGGGGGGGCGGTGTGCGCAAGTGGCATGACAAGCTTCCAACAGGTAAGTTGGTGTCTTTTTAAATTAGCTATGAGAAACCTACAAAGGATATCCAAGGCAAGCTTTCTTAGTGTACGTTATTTGTAAATAGCCATCGTTTAAATAAGTGAGATCTCAATTAAAATAACTAAAAGTTCAAACAATTGAGAAAATTTTTATAACATATGATTAGAAGAACCTTTACATAACATACAGCTTCAATGAGCATGAAGTTGATAATTATTAACAAATATTGCTTGAACAAGTGATTGAAGGCATTGCCAATCCACGGGTGCAGGTCTTTTGCTGGAGACTATTCAAGAATGCATTGCCAACGTACCAGTTCCTAGCTCATAGAAGGTTGCAAGAAGATGATACGTGTCCTAGATGTTCAGCGGGAATAGAGGATGTGGAACATATCCTTGTCAAATGCATCAGATTAAAAGAAGTGGTTTCAATGCTGAACGTATGGGGATTTGACATGCCTGAAATCGGTAACTTTGAAGAGTGTTGCTCTTGGCTAGAAACAAACGCTAAGATTAATGGTATGTTTATTAATATATATTATTGATACGTCATCACAAAATTATCTTGATCGGGCACGAATCTCGAGGCAAGAGCTAGTTGGAAACTCCAAAAAAAATTTTGGGAGCACCCGAACTCCGATTTCAGCGAGCTTACAGTCAAATTGAGTGTCTCGGAAATACGAACCCAACGACACCAAGATCAACCCAATCCGAGCCCAAATGAGTCGGAATCAAGGGCTCAAAGCGCTGTTGGAAGGTTCAAACCGCAATTTGAATTACCAAACGGTCTCCGATTTTGACGCCAGACTACAGTCCTTCCGACCTCCGTCGCCAGCCGACTACGGTCCTCCTGACCTACGTCGCCCGCCGACTGCAGCCCTTCTAACAAAGCGAACATGTCAATAATAATTCTTTGTATTTACATCATGTAATGTACTCCATAAGATGTACATCAAGCTAAGGCCTTCCACCAAGGAAGGGCCTCATTTGTAATCGACTGCAATACTAGTGGATTCATTCAATCTGGGCTAGGCCCCGTGGTTTTTCCCCTTAAAAATCTTGTTGTCTCATAAATGCTAGACCCTCTCTCCTTATCTGATTGCGTGCCGGATTTTCATACAATGTTAAGACGTTAAATATGATATTTCTCTACCGCCGCGAATACTCCTGGACGAACAGTTTGGCGCCGTCTGTGGGAAAGTAATTCCCGACTAGGGGGCAACTTTTGTTCCAATCTCAAAAGATCACACATAGCATCAATATCATAAGAAGCAGATGCGGACCGGGGGCAACTTTGACTCAATCCATAGTCAAATAGATCCTCCAATACCTTCAACATCAAGTTGATATTTCAGGAATATCCGAGCAAATATAAGGATACTTCAAATCAATTGCAAGCTTTATACAGTCCCTTGTTGGACTTTTACTTCTTGGGCAAGGTCTTAATCTTGACCTTAAAAATGCAGTAACGGTCTAAAGATAGACCTTCTTCACTTTTGATTTGGGATATACGCGGCGTTCGCCCCCTCCCAATCAAAGCAAAATCAATCCCAGGGGGATTCGATTCGACCTCTTCCACACAGGTTAACGTCGTCGAGAAAAGGCTCTGACATACAACCTCGGAAAGGTTTCACATCCTTGGTGG